AGCGTCGCTCCTTGATGGAAACCCATATGGAAGCCAGTCCATCTTTTCTGGTCTTCCTGCTCCCGGCGGATCCGCTCCTGGTCCCCTTGCCACGCCACTGTCATCTAGCATGAAGCAAAAGCAGCGCACTCCGTTGCCAGTCTACAGAATCACTCCAAACGCTGCCAATCGCCTTGTCACCCCTCCAAAGCGTGGATATGGTTTCTCTTACTCTACCTATGGCTCGCCATCTGCCAGCACTGGTGCCTCGTCTGGACTTGGCAGTAGTTTATTGGGGGCTGGTGGCGGTAGTCACAGTCTCCGCGGCAGCGTCAATGGCAGCATTGGTCGTACCTTCAGCAAGAGTTATTCCACTAGCAACCTTCGCAAGACCTTCGATCCCGAGTCGGACAGCGTTCTTTCTCCCGGTGCCCTACAGGCCGGCAGCGTACGTGGTAACAGCACCCTCAAGCGTCTCACTATCAACCGTGGTCTGAGAAATGAAATATTGTCGACCTCGCCTCGTACTTCCCCAGCCCCTCTTCTCACCAACGGAGAAGATGCTGCTCAGTCTGCCGACAAGCTGAAGAAAAAGGTTAGCTTCGACGCTAATACCAACGGGCTTCACGGCGGAGAACTTGTTCGCGTTGAAACTCAGAGTCCTGAGCCGTCCGCTGAGGAGCTTGGGTTCCTTCGCTCTGTGCGCAAGAGTGGTAGCCTCAATGGTGTCGATGCTACCCGCACTTCCGATCATCCTGAGACGGAGTCTGTTCGCCGTGACCTTGCTGCTGTCCCCGAAAGCGCACCACCAACCACCAACGGTGCTACTGTTAAACGCCTTACATTCATCCCTGGCGGTGACCCAAGGCCTGGTGAGTACTGGATGCAGCCTTCCCGTGCCGAGCTTAGCCGATTGAGCCGCGATCAGCTCAGACAAGTCGTCGACTTCACCGTTGGACGTCAGAACTGTGGATCTGTCACGTTCAACGGCCCCGTTGATCTGACTGGCGTTGATTTGGACAACCTTTTCTCCAATATTGTGGATATCGGTCTTCGCAAGATTACTGTCTACCCCGAGGAATCTGTCAAGCCTGCCAGGGGCAAGGGACTGAACGTGCCATCTACCCTGCGGATTGAGAACTCATGGCCCCGTGGTAGAGATAGGAAGAGCAACTCGCCTGTCACCAGTGGTCCTCTGTTCGAGAAACACATTGATCGTCTGCGGAAGGTGGGCGATACTGAGTTCGTTAACTACGAGACTGAGACTGGAACCTGGGTTTTCAAGGTGCCTCATTTCACCACATATGGCCTCGACTATGATGAAGAGGAAGGTGAGAGTCTTGATCAGAGCACCATGAGTGCCCAGGGCCCTGACCACCCCACCCCCAGGGCTCATTTCAACCACTCTGCGAGTTTCGATCAGTCTACCAATTTCGACCAATCCACCACTTTCTCCATCGACGAGTCCTTCGTCGGCTCTATGATTGGCGTTGAAGATGATACTTTCGATTTCAAAAAGCGCAAGCTTGTTCCTGGCTCTTTTGCTAGTCAGGCCACGCCTGTTGAGGATGATTATTTTTCTGAGGGTGAGACCGAGTCTTTTTTAGAGGAAGGCTCCACGGGTTCGACTACTGAGAATGACGACGATGTCGTCACCGAGAGCCAACAGTCTGGCGACTCGGTAGTTGGATCAGATGAGGCAGATGAAATGGATATGGAGGGTGCCTTTCCGACTCCTCATCGCACCGTGGAGCGGGACTACTACCAGAACACCGTCGGTGATCTGGATACCACTTACCCTATCTCAAAACACTTCGGCAGTCCTCCAAAGCCCCAGCTTGATCTCAGTGGCGATTGGGCTGAGCAGCTGCAGCGCACCATCAGCCCTCGCAAGCAGAACCGCGATGCCTTGCGTGAAATGCAGGCAAATGCTTTCATTGATCGCAACCTTGTGGACGACGAATCTCCTACAACTCTTGCTACAGCCCCTCTTAAGAAAGGATTCTCGAACAGCATTGATCTTATGAACTCTTTGTTTCAGCAGCCGCGCAAACAAGCTGCCCCTTCTCCGCTGAAGGCTTCTAAAGCACCCCCAAAGGGCTTTGAGGTTAGAATTCCCTTATGTTCACACTGATTATCATTCCTTTCGTTTCCCCCGTCCTGTGTTACTGCATCGTGTATCTATGAAATTGCACATCACCCTTCAGATAGTTTAACAAATGAGATAACCTGAGCTAAAACTTTTTTTCTTCCTTCCAGTGGCCTTACAACAAGCAACCCAAGACCTTTGCTGGCGATACAACACAAATGAGCGAATCCGACGCTGCTTTCCATAGCTCTTTCAAGCCCCGTTGGGGTCCCATGGACTCCCTCATCTGCGCGAAAAACGATATGGAGGACACAATCTTGGGGGTGAACAAGACCTGGAAAGAAAGTTTCTCCATTTTCAGCGAAGAACGTGATATTGCAGTCATGGCTTACACTCAGTCTGGCGAGGTATGTTTAATGGTCTGGTTGGTGTTTATTTGAATTGGATACTGATGATGATATAGGTCAAGGAAATGCTTGACGTCCAGCGGCTTCAGTCCTCTATCCAGCGCATCGACGGCGCTCCCTTCGTTCGTATGGCTAAGGTCGACCTGTCGCAGTTCCCTCTCTCGCCGTCTACTCGTTCCCAGTCGGAGGAAGAGCGCTTGGTGTGGCAGCTTCTCAACATTCTTTTTAATGACGATATTGAGGACGACATCTCAGCGGGTGTGCCCTCGCGACTACGACAGCAATTTGCGCACCGAATCAAGAAGGACCGACTCACACGTCTTTGGGAGGGAATAATTCGTGAAAAGCAGACCCAAAACCTGGATCTGATTCGCTCCCCCATCGAACGCGCCGTCCATTTGATTTGTTCCCACCGAGTGGAGGAAGCGTGCAAGACGTTGATTGAGAGTCAAAACCCGCATCTGGCGACTGTGGTTGCACAGATTGGCCGCGATGCTACCTCGCGGGCTGACATAGCGAACCAGATCGAGGTATGGCGTCAGAACAATATCCTCTCGGAGATGAGTGAACCCGTGCGAGCACTCTACGAACTGGTCGCAGGAAATGCTCTCCGTAGCGAGGGCAAATCCGGCGGTGCACTTGAAGACCGGGCCTCCAGCTTTGGCTTCACTGAGCGGTTTAATCTAGATTGGTTCCAGGCCTTCGGTCTTCGTCTGTGGTATTGCACTTCTGAAGATGAGCCCATTGAGGTGGCTGTCTCCAAGTTCCTTGAGGATTTGGCTACCGGACAAGAACCCGCTTTCCCCCACCCGTCGCACCAGGCCAGCTCACATGCAGTCCTGCAGCCTGGCTCTGATACACTTGGGCGCGAGTCTCCTCTCTGGGTGCTGCTCAAGGCCTTCTCGGCGATTCAAAGCAACAGTGCCAAATCCATTGAATTTCCGGCATCTTTCCTTCCCGAATCCGTCTCCGGTGACCGTCTGTCCAACCGATTCTCCTTCCAGCTACACCACGTTCTCGCTGCGACGGTCGGACAAAACCAGGCCATCAAAATCGACCAACATCAAACCGACAAACTCATCTGGGACTTCGCTTCTGAACTCAGTGCAGGCGGAAAACTTGATCAAGCACTGTTTGTTCTCCTGCACCTTTCCCAAGCCAACGATCGCAAGCAAGCCGTCCAAGAAACTCTCGGCCGGTTCGCCGCTCAACTTCCCGAGCCCTTCGCTGCCGACGGCTCCTCCCACCCGGCATGGCAATATCTCGTTACTGAGCTCCAGCTTCCTGAGCCCTGGATCTGGGTTGCCAAGGCCCTTCATGCCCGCGACATTGGCGACGCTCCTCGTGAGGTCGACTGTCTTATTCGCGGCAAGCACTGGAACGACGCCCACGCCACATTCTGTCGCATCGTCGGTCCAAGCACCATCATCGAGGGTGACTACCGTACCCTCGAGGCTCTCGTCTCTGGCTTCGGCGACGGCCCCGAACGTAAAATGCGCGGCTGGTCTTCTGGCGGCGGTGTCTACGAAGATTTCCTCCGCCTGGTCAACGCCACCAGTGGCCGACGTGATCCAGTTCGCCTGAACCGCTTGGTGGCCGCTCTTGTTGCCATGGGCGATCGTGTTCAGGGATCCAGCCTGGAAGGACTGGAGGAGCGTGTTGCATTTAAGGAGATGAGCCGGGCTGTCGCCGGCTGGATTACGCACGAGGATGTTCATGTTAGTTTACCCCTCCCTTTTCCGCTGATACATTGTTTTTGCTCATTGCTGACTTCCATCTTTCTACAGACTGTTGAATCTTCCGCTGTCCTGGGCCTGCCCTTGACAGGAGATGCTCGTGTTTTGCAGACCGCAGAGATGAGCCGTCGGTACTACGGCGTCATCATGGCGGGTGGATGTTAAGTTTTGAGGAGACAAGGAAATAATGTTCCAGTTTGCATATGTTCATTGCGGAATTAGCGGGCATTAGCTATCCAAAGCCCAAGCACCCTGATCTTTTTCTTTTGTTTTTCCTCTTTTCTACTGTTCTACCCTGTCCCCCAAATGATCTCAAATGGTTCCCATGACATGTATTGTACTCTACCCTATTGCTGAAAAACTATTTGACCCAATTCATTTTATCCTTTTCCTTCTCTAGTGTAGACATTGTAGCAGAATAGAAAATACGTAGTTCGTAGTCATATCTTTGTGATCACTTACGGCTCCGCTCATTGGCTTCACCAAAGTATGGGTATAAATAAAGCGCCTAGGTTATACTTTGCTGTATTCGCATATCAGGATGTTTATCAAGGGTGGCCTGATACCTGCGCTCGTATAATACTCCACGTGAATAGTACTTTAGTGACATGTTAGTCACCGTCATATTCAAGTTACTAGTTACATATTAAACATCATTTGTGCCTATTATAAGCAAACTAAAAGGATCAGGAGTTGGTTACCAGCGAATATTGGATTGATTGACAGCGATAACTGTGGTTCCAACCTCTGCATAAATTGCGTCGTATGTAGAACTTCCAGTCACTGTTGTCAAGGTCCACCAGCTTGGCTAGCTTGTACAAAGTAGTTGGTATCAAGCCATTTTTCAGTGCTATCAATGGGACCAGCATTTGAGAAACCCGAGATGCCCCTGGAAATAAGAATAATAAGCATATACCATCTCGGGGAAGGAATATCACTTACATTTTTCCGGTCAACTTATCGTAGATGAGATTCGATGACGAGGCCACTAGTGACTGAAGACCCCACGGCACAAGCTGTCTTATCGATATGTTAACGCAATGACTTAACAGATAAAAACAGAGTAGGAACTTACTGATACCCTCGGTAGAATTCTTCACGGATTGCGGGGCGGATATGAGGACGCCTGCTCTAGAAATACTCATCGGTGAGAGGCTCTCCAGGAACTTTATCCCAGACAATACAGGTGGTAAAGCCCAATGGAATAATGCCATCATGCTTCTGCTGTTCATGTTGATAGCCAAGAAGTTTGGGGATAACTTCGCAGCCTTTTTCCTTTAATTTCTTCAATGCTGTCAACTCAGGATGCTGAAATGGTGGACCAGCCTGGCTTCCTCAAGTTCTGGAGATTGGGAAATCGGTGCCGGCGATAGACATTTGTTGATACATCCGCAGAAATGCTGGCTTCTTGGTTCGGTCATCATTGCGGTAGCAGAGGAATTTGACGGCGGCAAATAGAGGACCAAGACCATTGTTGATGTCCTTATGAGTCATAAGAAGGGATGTCTCCTCGAGCTTCTGATTATCTATATCTGACAGGGCAGAAGTGTTTTTTTTGGTGTCTGTGGTGACCTCAGTGCCATGAAGGCCGACAAGGAACACAGTCTCAGCGCTGTGGATGGAGAGATTTCTATATAAGAAAGGCCAAGAATGAATGGTAACTGTGAAAGGCACTAGGGACATAGTTACTCAACATGGTAGATATTTATCCATCTGGGTGGCATCATATTTATCTTCATATCGTCAACTAAACGGAAGGAGCAGCCCTGGAAGTACTAACACATGTTACATAGAAAAGTCGGGTTGCACATTTTGCACCTCTTCACGACCTGTATTATATGTATGCAGCTAACTTCCCAACAACAAGGGGAAATATCAAATATAAATGTACTAAAAGAGGTTTGAAAAAGACATGAAAAGGTCGTATACGAGTGACTGATTTATCAAGGACGATTAGATTTCCAGCCCATGTATACCATTTCACAATGCTCAGAATTCCAACACTCCACCAGCACGACCTCGGTTTGATTGACCACTGCTGAGCATCCATACCTAGCCACACCTCCTGCCTCGAGCCTAATAAAAACAAAATTACATGCTCCTTTTAACAACATATGTATATATTTACCGAGATATATATACTACACACTGCGTCTACCTGGGTCTATTTTATAATTATATTATAGTACACAATTTTGTAAGATCGGCCTAGTAGGCGATGTTCAATTTAGATCTTAGATAAATACATAAGACCAGGGTACCAGGGGCGTTCAAACCAATGCTCAGTCTAGAAAAACTGCGGCACCACGGTCACGAGGTAGCAAGACACGGTTATCCCATACCATCGCACGGCGGACTCCAACTTCTGTCACGTTCATAGTTTCCGCAATTGCCTGGTAGGTAGCCTGCCAATGGGCGTATGAATGGGGGTTGGTTGCTGTCAACGTATTTCGGAGTAGCTCGGACGCGAGTGCTCGGCCTGCGCTGGGTCGGAATCCGAAAACAGCAAAGGTGATTGGCAACGCATGTCGCGCATAATCCTGTATTGCCACTTGCGGGGATACAAAAAGGTCGTTGGCGGCGGTACATAGCAATATCATCGAAAGCAATTCGGAGTACGCAGTGTAAGCACACTTCATAAAGCGTATGTACGCTTTGTACGATTTTTCGCGGATAAACAACATTCGCTTGGCAATAACACGCTGGATATACCACGCCAGACCGATACGTTCGACGAATGCGTGACACACATCCACATTGCCCCATAGTCGATGAAAGTCGCTCCAAGAACACTCTCGATGATATCCGACAAGAATCTATCCCACAGGTGGGCGAACAATTTGCACCCAGTGCTATCGAGGTGCCTACCAATCAATTTGTCTTGTGAGATCGCTTGGCCAGGCTGTATGTTAACAACCCATCTTTTGGCGCTGCCAATAGGACCAGCATTTTTGAAACCTGAAATATGCCTGAAGATAAGAAGAATAAGCACATCCCCTTGGACACCATCTCGGGGACAAGGAATATCATGTACAGTTCAAATCTTGGATGAGCCAGTAGAGCTCCAAGCTATACTTGATCCTCGTAGGCCTTGTTTATCCGGTGTTCGGTAACGCTTCCAAGTCAATTGCCTGTTGGAACCGGCCCTTCAGACTGTGCTCATCTTCACACTTTTGATATCGCGTGGTCTCCGTGTAGGCTTAATGGCCTGTCGGTCTTGTTCTTGAGCTCTGTGCTCTGTCTGATGGCTCTACGTCCTGTAAAAAACCAGCCCTGTATCAGATCTTGCCCTGAAATTCAAGTTTGTGAAGAGCACAGGATTTTGTATGGTATTTCCCTACCAATAGACGGAGAATGCATGATGTTGCCTGGTGCTCCAAGATCTGTAACACTGGCAGTGGAGAAGTGATGTGGTGCGAAGATAAAGTTGTCCAGGGTTGTGCAGACACTGTTAGGGAAAGTGCCGCAGAAGAAGCTACTCTCCTCTCATTCTCTACTCTGCTTCTCCATTTTCTCTACTTTTCTATTCACTACTCTCGCTATCATTGCCCACTTTTGCCATCATTCTGTCAAGCTATACCATCTTCCTCAATATGGAGCTGCAACAGATCGAAGGAAGTCGTGAGGCAGGGACTGTGACAGTACCTGGTCCCTTCGAGCGCGCCCCAGCAGATCGCAGTGTAAGGAGAGTCGACAGTGGGTACGGTCCTGGCTTTACTGAAGTACCCGTTGCAACCCCAGCCACCCATACATCCCCCAGCGATGCCAATTCCAACAACGTCCATGATCGGCCCGAAGCTGCTACTGACGGCACCTCAGGCTCGCCAGCTACCGAAGCACATGTCGAGATCGCAGAAACAGCACCTGATAATTCTCAACCATCGTACTCGGCATTCAGCAAATACGAAAAATTGTTCATCGTGATAATGGTAACGCTTGCATCGTTCTTCTCCCCTCTTTCCGGTCAAATCTACTACCCAGTCATGCCAACATTAGTACGGAACTACCATCTTACCCTGGAGCTGATCAACCTCACAATCACTACATACATGATCTTCCAAGGCCTGGCCCCGAGCTTCATGGGCACATTCGCTGACACTGGGGGCAGACGTCCAGCCTATATTATTGCGTTCGCGGTTTATACCGCTGCCAACATTGGGCTGGCGCTGCAGAACAGTTTTGCAGCGTTGCTTGTCCTCCGCTGTCTCCAGAGTGCAGGAAGCAGTGGCACCGTGGCCTTTGGTTATGGCGTTATAGCGGATATTGCGACAACAGCAGAGCGTGGGAAGTACATTGGGCCCATGGCAGCAGGTGTTATGGTTGCACCGGCACTAGGCCCTGTTATCGGTGGTCTTTTGGCCAAATTCCTAGGCTGGCGCAGTGTCTTCTGGTTTCTGGTCATTATTAGTGGAGGATACCTGGTGTTCTATGTGCTTGCTATGCCAGAGACCGCACGCAAGATTGTTGGTAACGGCAGTGCAGCACCAAATGAGTGGTGGCGCAGGTCGGTCATCCAATGGTGGTCCAAGAGGCAGGTACAGTCGGATGAAGAACGTCACGCAGAAAGATCTCAACAAGAGACTTCGCAAACTAAGAGACTTAGGTTCCCGAATCCTCTCAGGTCCTTTGTCATTCTGCTGGAGTGGGATGCCCTGATGATCATTTTGTACGTCGGAATTGTGATGTTCTCGAATATTGCTCTACTAACAAGCATTCCCAATCTCTTCGGTCCCTTGTACGGGTTCAACGAGCTCCAGATTGGTCTCTGCTTTTTGTAAGTTTCTGTGTCTCCCTCTTTATCCTTCCAATAAAGGGACCTACTGACTAACACAAATATCCAGGCCCCTTGGAGTAAGCTCTTGCCTTGGCGCAGTCCTATATGGGAAAGTCATTGACTACAACTACAAGCGAACAGCCCAGAAACTCGGATTCCCCGTGGATCTGAAGAAAGGAGACGACTTGCGCAGCTTCCCAATCGAGCGCACTCGCCTGCAAACAGTATTCCCAGTAATGGCCATCGGCATTGCAGCATTCATCCCATACGGCTGGGTCCTGCAGCAAAGAGTACACTTAGCTGCCCCGCTGGTGCTCCAGTTCATCATAGGCTTCTGCTTCGTTGCATCCCTGAACTGCCTTAGCACCCTTCTTGTCGACCTATTTCCAGATAAGCCCGCCACGGCTGCGTCGGCGTGCAATCTTGTTCGCTGCTGCCTCGGTGCTGTTGGGGCCGCTGTCATTAGCCAGATGCTGAGCGGCATGGGGTGGGGATGGTCTTTTGTTTTTCTGGGTTTGGTCATGGCTGTTGGGATGGGGATGCTCTGGGTTGAATATGTGTATGGCATGGGCTGGAGAGAGAAGAGGTTGCTCAAGATCGAGCGGAAAAAAGCGGAGAAGGAGGCGAGAGCCGCTGAGATTCAGGTCGAAGGAAAGGCCGATGGAAGAGAACAGAGGGATACTGATGTTCGAGAATTGGTTGCTGGTGCTAATGTTGATGTTACTGGAACTGATACTCGCTCAAACCGGTGAGGGGGAAAACATAGGGGACCATCGCTCTGCTATCATGAGGCGGTGGACGTTGTTGTTACCATACGACTGCCTGTTATGACCATAGGATTGATCGCTTTATGGAAATGGAGAAAATGAGAATATGCTACGTAGCACGAATGAAGACATCAAATGCATCAAATTTGCTACCGACTGTACAATAAAGGAAAAACCTAGGCGCGATAGAGGAACACGAGGGGATCGAGCAGAGTAAAGAAAAGAGAAACACCACCCTCCCCGGCCGGACCAGGCAAACAAGAAGCAAGAAAAGACATTACCGGCCAGGGAGAGGGAGATATAAGAGAGGTCTAGATGTGATAATCATCCCCGACCCGTTCCTGCTTCTTTTTGAGGGGCCAACATAGGGAGGAAAAAGGGCTTTAAATGAAAAAGGAAAGGTGTGGGGAGCGTTTACATGCCAGGGGAGATCAGTTTGCCCTCAGCACGGCTGTTGGGGTGCCAGCCACCGGCGTAGGGGGCAGCGCCGAGCTCCTTCTCGTACTGGCGGATACGGGCCTCTAGTTCGGGACGGAAGTGGCGGATCAGACCCTGGATGGGCCAGGCAAAGGCCTCACCCAGAGCGCAGATAGTGTGGCCCTCGACCTGCTTGGTGAGCTCCTGGAGCATGTCAATTTCACGCTCGCGGGCATTTCCAGTCTCGAGACGCTGCATCATCTGCATGGTCCACTTGCTGCCCTCACGGCAGGGGGTGCACTGGCCGCAAGACTCGTGCTTGTAGAAGGTGGACAGGCGAGAGATGGCGCGGACGATATCAGTGGACTTGTCCATGACAATGACGGCAGCTGTGCCCAGACCGGTCTGTGAATCCTTGAGGGCGTCAAAGTCCATGAGCTGGTTGTCGGCCACAGACTTGGGGATGACGGGAGTTGACGAGCCACCGGGGATAATGGCGAGCAGGTTGTCCCAACCACCGCGGACACCTCCACAGTGCTTCTCGATCAGCTCGCGCAGCGAGATGGACATTTCCTCCTCGACTGTGACGGGGTTGTTGACGTGACCGGAGATACAGAAAAGCTTGGTGCCGGCGTTACGCTCACGGCCGAAGGAAGAGAACCAGCTGGCACCACGGCGCATAATGGTCGGTGTCACAGCAACGGTCTCGACGTTGGTGACTGTGCTGGGGCAACCGAACAGACCAACTGCAGCGGGGAAGGGAGGCTTGAGGCGGGGCTTGCCGGCCTTACCCTCAATGGACTCAATGAGCGAGGTCTCTTCACCACAAATGTAGGCGCCCATTCCTCGGTGAATGTACACGTCGAAGTCGTATCCGGAACCGCAGGCATTCTTGCCAATCAGGCCAGCCTCGTAGGCCTCGTTGATAGCCCGCTGGAGAACGGTAGCTTCGTGGTAGAACTCACCACGGATGTAGATGTAGGCGGCGTTGGCATTCATAGCACGACCCACCACCAAGCAACCCTCGATCAACTTCTGGGGGTCCTTTCGCATGATCTCTCGGTCCTTGCAAGTACCGGGCTCACCCTCATCTGCATTGACAACCAGATAACGGGGGCGAGGGTCCTTGTCCCAATCCTTGAAGTTCATGAACGACTGTCGAGTAGCGGGTCAGCCCGGCTATCCCACAAAACACTCGCGTTCGTCGGAATTGCGGATAGGCCACTTACGTATTTCAATCCTGAAGGGAAACCAGCACCACCACGACCACGGAGGCCAGATGCCTTGATCTCTGAGATGAGCTGTGTGTGGCATTAGCAATTGATAATTCCCCAGCTCGTCAATTGTGCGACAACCCACCCAATCATCGCCCTTCAAAAGCATATCCTTGGTCCGGTACCAGTCACCATATTTCATTGATGACTTCAGATCCGCACCGTGGTGTGAGTAAAGGTTGGTGAAGATCCGATCTTGGTCCTTAAGTCCGCCATAGTGCTTCACGGGAGGCGCCTCCGACACAGATGCGAAGGAGCGGGCGGCCGCCCCCTGGGCGCGGAGGGAGCGGGTCGAGAGATGGGAGAGGGAGGAGGTGGAGGGAGCCGCCGCTCTGGATATCATGATGACGGCGGGGGTGACAATGCGTGGTGAGGGTCAAAGGGTCGTGGAGAAGGAGGGAAGGGAGTCGTGGAGCTCACGGCAATTCCTGCGCTTGCTGAATGATCCGCCTTTGGCTTCGATATGATTGGGTGGTACCTTCTCACGTGACCGCGTTGCTGAGTCAGTATTCCAGACTCGGTCATGACGCCCTTGTGGTCCCTAACGGAAGTTAGGGCCTAATAGTTATATACCGCTGCAGTGACAAACACACGTTCTGTTTATCCCTATGATCTTTTGGCCTAGCGGCTAAATGATCTTATGTAATCCCTTAGGAGTTGCGACCTAAGCGGTGCTTAGGATTACACCCTCAAGTATATATTATCACGTGACTTTCTACGTACAAAAAGAGGTGCTTTCACCTCAGTGGCTTCATTCTCTAGCATATATTCGAATTCCCTTTTTTGGGCAACCTCTCATGGTTTTCTTTTGTGTCCTCTTTTCTTCTTAAACTGTTTTTTATCTTCAAGTCAGTAATTGTTACAGTGATCATAGGCAAGAATAGTCGGCCTCTTATGCAACCTTGTGATGCAGTCTTTTGGTGGTCTTCTTAGACATTCTTTATATATACTTTTGGATATTCTTTTCAGAAATCTTCTTCCCCTGCTCAGTATGGGAAAAAAAAGATATTGCCACGTCCAAACGACCACCACAACTATAAAATGGTTGCAACCACTAGATGACAACATGCACGCACATCAACAAATGAAATCGCTTCAAGGAGCCCCCCTCTGAGAATACCGCACCCCATACTGTTTCAAATCCATTTTTTGACCTATCTACATTCCTTATTTTCGACCCGAAATAGCTTGGCTTACCCGTTGGCCTTGCCATTGCAAGGTGTCGCCAACTACCTGCGTACTGGCCCTGTCAAACAGCTTCGCGAATTGGGTTGACCGGACCCAACCTTTTAACATGGCTATGGCTGCCACTGACAGCGCTTCCTCGGTCAGCATTGCAGTCAAAGTCCGTCTTTTTACTATCAGAGAGGCAGCCTAGATCACACGATGTGACGAGGGTCCTCTGTTTCTCGGCGACAGTTCCCTCACGCGGCTAAAATAATAGACATAGAGCAAGTAGGCTGAACGTGAACGGTAAACAACTCTTTCACTTCTATGTCTACTATCTCTTTATTTATTCTTGCGGCACATAAAGGCATGCCTGCTTCAACATGGACAGTGATCCCTCCATCTTTAGAATCTCAAATGGCTCAAGAGGAATCATGACCATTTCCGAACCTGCCACTGTCCATGCCCATTTAAGCCACTCCGAGTCTAACCACCCACTACCCTCAGTAAGCCAATTAACCCCATCACCAGGTGCCAATGAGCTTGGTTGTTCCGCCCTAGTATATTCTTGGAATTGACGAAGTGTTTCGCTGGCTTCATCCACCCCAGTTTCAAGAGATCTGGAAATAACAGAGGGTGGAGGGTATTGCTCAAGCAGGAAAGTAAACCATCGGTTGAGACGCGACGACAATTTTGATCGTGCCTCTGGTGAATTATATGTTGCAACTAGCAAGCAAATAACCGTTGCAAATATAGTCTGTGGATCGCTCGAGATACTCGGGACAGCCTGGCTCACCACTCCGAGGGCGTGCTGGAAGCATGTCTGAGCTGGCTCCTGCATTTCAGCCGGGAGAAGGCTGAAAAGCTCGCCTAATCTGAACAGCTCACCATTTTTAGTGATGAGTGATGGACGCTCCAGAATACGCACTTGGATCCGGGACATGACATCGTCTGGGATGAGGCCGGCCGGGATGCGCGTCATTAGTTCATGTATGAGGGCCTTGGTATCCTCCCAACTTTCACCACGCTTGTGTTCTCTGCCACGTGTAATAGTCCAAGTAGCGATAACCAAGGCAGCCTGATCTAATGTGATTTGACCATTGCGGTAGATCTGGGAGTGGATCTGGTTTAGGGTGGTTGGTTGCGAAGGCAGATGTTCCGCACTGGCTTTCAGATTTGTGGCATGGGCCATGAGCTCAAAGCTAATCTGACCGAGTGCAGCGTAGATACTATGGCTGTTTCCATATCCCGGGGGAATGCGAATACAGTCCTCGGTGATCTCGAGCATTTTGCGTTCGCGTGCGTTTGATTCCATGACGGTCAATGCGTTGAAAAGTGCCGGTGAGAAGATCGAGTGCTCCATCCTTGTTTCGGGTGCCAGCAGTGGGTAAAATGGATTGAATATGTAGTAGTGGTCTTCGACATTCTTGGCAACCTGGGGGAACAGTTCTAGCTGGCGAGCCTTGGCTTCGCCGAGAGGGCTGTCAGGCTTCACACCCAGATGAACAATGCGATAATCAGTTGGGTTTCCGGCAATGCAGAATCCATAGTTTATCAACACTATGTTGTAGTCAGTCTCTTGGAGTTCAGACGTTCAGAAATATTGAATATCACGTGGCAAACGCGATACGTACATTGTTCATTATTACGAGGGCCGTAGTTGTTGGAAATTTCATGGCCTACCGAATGATCTTCAAGCACAAGTAGGCCAATATCCTTATCACCCGCTCGCCACTCAACCTTCGCCATTGGCCGATGGTTCGGAAGGTCAATGAGCGGAAGCAGCGCCGAGACTCCATCCTCAGGAAGATCATCAGGTTGGACAGCCCCAGATAGAACCTTTGACGAGAATGCACGGGAGGTAATGATAGTTGAAGCCCAAAGATATAGCTCCCTGTATACAAATTAGTATAATGTTTCCTCGGGCTTAATAAAAGTGACAGCCAATAGCAGTATGCTATAGTTACTCACCAAGTATACTGCTCACAATCCGGGAATCCAAGTGCATCCAACTGAAGATAGCCCGAATCGTACTTCTGCTCCCATATCTTAATTCTCTCAACGGCAGCTTCGGGAATTCCAGTACCCTGAATCCAATCTACATCCTCCTCGCCAAAGAACAAAGGT